ATATAAATATATCATCATGAACTTTCGGTCGAAAACGAACTACCCGCTCTGAAATGCGTTTTATAATACGGAAATTTCAATAGCGTTTGCTTTTCTTTTTTTTTTTTAGAAAGTGATATGAACATGTGCTTTACTTTTGAGCAGCTATATCTAGCAGCTGGAGAAGTTTAATTTATTAAACACTGAGGCTTTGAGACGTTTTTGTAATTAATAACAATTAGTTGTTTTTTTTTTATTTAAAGGGCGTGCTTTATAACAATTGTGAAGTAAAAAGGTGTCTGTTTTTTTTTTCTTCTTTTTTAAAATTAAAGTTAAGATTAACAAAGAAATTTGACGTCCTTCTTGACATTAATTTTAATAATTGGTGCGCCCTGCAAGCTATACAAAAAGTCGTGGGCTATTTGGTTAAAGATTAATAAATCTGCTAGTGCAAAATACAAAGGACATGTAAAAGACGGGAGAGTACAAGCACTATTTGTTGCTTCAGATTGAAAAAATAAAACAGTACGCGGCTAAATATTAAAACCAAAGAAAAAAGAACTACGAAAATTGCGAAAGAAATGATGCACATCTAGCTGGAGTTTTTTATACAGCGATCAGAGTTCAGCCGAAAAACAAACTTACAGTTTTCTCCACTCTTGCTGATTTTTAACATTCAAAAAACTTTGCCCCGATCTTATATTGTTACAATTTATCTATTTTAGATCAGGCCACATTTTTTTTTTCCTTCTTCTGAGTTGCACTTTGTTTATCTCCACATTACCTTGATCGCAATATAAAAAATACAGGTACGTTCGTATAATTATTTTTTTTTCAAGTTTTGCCGTTTCTCCTTAGTTCTAATTTTGATTATTGTTGGTTTTCCCTCAATAAATTTATTAAAACATCATTTGAAGGCAACGCTTGCCTTGATTCTACTTGTACAGTGTCCTTCACGCTGAAGGTTTAGGTGGAACCATACAGAATTTAGACGGTGAGATATCATTAGTACTATTTTTATCATCAAGAGCAATGAGTGAATGTAATGAAACTCATGGGGCTTCAGGCGTGCCTCTCTCCTTTTTGCTTTTTCTAACACAAGGTAATCATATCAGCACCAGCTAGTATTCCCCTAATGACTGATACCTTTAGAAACGCTGGACGAGGCGAATACGGGTCATCTTATCAGTCCGTGGCCAATGAGATTAGGACATTATTTATAAGAATGCCCAAGAACAAACAACGAAACAAGTTACCCTGACCACAATAGGTCATGCCTTCTCTTCCTTAAGCTTTGTGATCAGAGTTAAAAGTAACCTTCATAAGAAGACGTAGGAAAACAGCCATGAGAGGAACGATGATTTCAGGAAAAGTTTAAAAACCGTCCTGCCAACGACACTCGGGTGTATTGTTATGAATATCGGGGGTCGCGGAGCATGCCGCGCTTTGTATTACGAGCTGCACGCATGCTGGCAAAAACAAAACATACCCCGCACATAAATACCGAAAATTACGATTTGTCATTCATAAAAAAATGTAAGAGTCTATATACTTACGATTGCCGAATGATTGGCGCATCGCACACTTACATTTTTGGCCACACAAGTGCAACTCAGTTTAATGTCTGGATACTATTCGTGAATTGAAGGGTCTCTTTAGAGGCGTCCTTTAGTTAACGTCGTCGTTTCATTCTTGAGCACACACTATGTATCAAGCGTAACTCCATAACCTTCAGGTTCTCGGGAAGAAATTGAAATATAAATATTGGAAAAAAATTCCAGGGTAAGCGAACATTTCGCGTGTTTAGCAAACATAGCGCTTAAAAGGATGCAGGGCGTCCAGGCAAAACGCAATCCTTTAATGGCCTTGCACCCACCCTCTTCTCTTACAATGTTTTCCGTGAACCTGTCAGTGAGAGGAGCGACGAGGTCCCTAATTCACCAAACCCCAGTGGGGCCGTCTGCCCTCCAACCAGCGCCGCGGTTCATTCGAACCAAAGACAAGTATCCCCATCATCCTCCTCCTATATCTCGCTTTTCAGCTCCAAGCACAGCAAAGACACGTAACCAGCGCGCTGCTCTAAGCTTGACGAGGACTGCCGAGGCAATTTCTTCCAAATCCTTATTTTGACGAGGCGCGTACACGAATTACTAGAGGCAGCAACAGAAGGATGATGGTGCACGTAAGTGCACTTGACATGCGTCTGCCACGTTGAGTTGCTGTCACGTTTTGGTTCGGCTTGACGGTTCACCGGATGGGTCCTCTGGAAAGCGGTACCGGAATAACTGACAGCTTAAGAAAGGTAAAATATAGATTGTTATGTCGACGATCCTTGCATCATGTCCTGTTCTTTGACTTTTGTATCAAGCAATGCCGCATTATTGTTGGTTGCGAAACGTTTATAAGGTGCTCAAGACTCGCCATGCACGCCTTGCGTCTCTTACGTTGTAAATCAGTGTATAGGTGGTTCCTTTGCAAAAGGGGCATCCTTTTTGTAGAAGGCAAATATAAAATAAACTTGTCACTAACGCGTATCGTCCCCACATCCTTCTTTTTCAATTTAGATATTTACATGCCCACGACCGGCCGGCACCCCGAAAAGCGGACCTCCAAGAAGAAAACAAATTGGGAGGGAGGAAACAAAGAGCTTGAGCGTTTAGATTTGTTTGGGCGTTAGGTGGTTTTTCTCAAAGAGGCTACTTCAGGAAGAGGCGACATGCTGGAGATATTTGTGTGAGTAATTCTTTCGATATTCCTGTTTATTGCTTCTCTCGTACTAATTTAGTTAGGCAAAGGAACCTCATATGTCACCACTTATGTTCTAAATGCCAACTTATTGACGATGTAGTTTCAACAATACTACTAACTCGCACCGTAGACTGAAAGCTCATGAGGCCATATCTCACTCCTGCCGATTTCAAATTCGGACTCAAACTTCCTGGCACTGTTAGGGTGAAGAAGTCATTGCCGGCTTTGCTCGTGTCATACTCAGAAAAGGGTACTGTCATCCAAAACTGCAAAAGTTGGTAAATAGCGTTACAACGAAGAATAAAAAGGTTTATGTACAATATTTACTTTGGTGGGAAACGTTGCAATCCGTTGAGGCGTTCAATGTGTGTTGCCTCGTTCGGTATTCGTTGTGGTGATCTCGATCCGCACTTCGTTATCTTCGTCCTGCTATTTCGTTTTTCTCGCGATCTAGCATGTCCTTTTTTATCATTTTCGCTCAAGAATAAAGTCCTGATTAAATCATTTTACAAACACTCCCCGCAATGAGCATAGACCTGCTCATTTGTTGAGGGACTTTAGGGGGTACAAAAGCTGCACCGGTCGTTTGATAACCTTACCTTGGGGAAACTTTACCGCGCATGACCGTACAAGTCCGTCGCTTCCGGGAAAGTTTCAATTACGCGTCCTGTTTTCCAGCTCTGACGTGGCTGTAGATGTATAGATACTATGACGAAATCACCTTCCTCGAGTCCACTGGATTTGTTGGGTCGGGAGTGGTGAGCTGTGCGTAGTTTATTTAGGTGGTGCCTTCACTATATCCTCCAGAAGTGGTTAGTTACTACTTGCCTGTGTTTACAACGTCTTTGGACACTGAGGGCGCCGGATTCAGACGAGAGGTGTGGTTCGCATGAAAGGAGGGACGTAAGCCGTTTCCCGACGAGAAAAAGCAGGTGTGAGCGGGGTTGGTTCGGATGTCTCGTAGTACAAGAACCTTAGGGGTCTGAAATTTAAAACAACCTCGACTTTAGTTAGAACTGTGTTTAGCTCCTCGTATCTCAGGTAGCCGCGACCCAATATCTTCTTAGGGTTGTTTTTGCCCCTTGAATTATTCGCTCCCGAAACTTGCCCGACCAAGCAGCTCTCTAAACAATAAACTTGCACTGTACACGTAGCAACGCGAACACAACAGAAAACTGTTCGCATTGTACACTGTCCCAAAGTTCCCCTAGCTCCTTGTCAGCCCTGTGAAAGGTCTATGTAATCCTCTTCGTGCGATGAAACCTGTGAAGGCTAGGATAAACTTCTCTGTTGTCAGGTCACTAACCAGCTCGAGGTGCATAGCACTAGTAACCGCACACGTGATCACGAGAATGTAGCATGTTTTCACCACCCCACATTTTTAGCGAAAAGACGACCCGCGAAGTTAATGCCTGAGACTTCGAAGGGATCCTCTGGATTGACTCACAGTCCCGGCAGGGGCGCTGTGGGCTCACTAGCCGGCTTGCAGTGAAGCCGATCACAGGTCACACATCATTTAAGCATCCTCTTCGTCGCCTGTCTAGCCTTTATAATCCAATACTTCTCTCGTAGTTGCGCCACTGTGTCCTGAAGGCCAGCACGGAGTAAGCGTTCGTGGGTAGCGCATAATAGTAGCTCGGTAAAAATATGCTTTTGAGGCAGGATAATCGGATGTGTCTCCTCCAGCCGGCGTTGCGTCTTCTGCAACCTACCCCCACTTCGTACGATGTCGTTAGAGTCGAGGTACGCTCCCAAGGATCACAGTCGAGTTCCTGTGCCACACGTCCTCATATTTTGTATTGTAGCCAGTTCCGCCCTGAATTCTTCACGTCCCGTTTGTCACACTAGGACATCCTCTGCGTTGTTCATCTCTGTTGCTGTTAATGGTCTCTGCTTCTTTTTTGCTGACAGTTCTGCGCAAAACGTAGGATCCACGCTGTCACACGCAGGAGGCGATATATGCTGCTGTAGTGTTGCATTGGAATCAGAGGTTTCATTACAACGAGCGTGACACATGGAATCCTTTCCCGTTGTTCCTGTCAGTGAACGTCGTTTTCGTCCTGTCGTTCCCTCGCAATTTGTTGTGGCCATTCGCCTTGAGAGTTCAGTAACCAGCCCGGTCCGTTCCACCAGAGTTCGCCAGAGACTAACGTAGGAGGCGCCACTCCTCTGGTCAACAGGTCTTCAGAGTTTTCGCTGCTCGGACAATGCCCCCATTGTACAGGGTCCGTGAGTTGCTGAATTTCCGCTGCGTGGTTTGCCACGAAGAGCTTTCATCTTATAGCAGACCCCTTGATCCAGTGCATGGCGATGTTCGTATCAGTCCATAGGTATGCGGCTTGTATAGATAAATTCAGCGTGTTTATTAGTTTACGATGCAACCTTGCCGCTATCAAGGCTCCCATCAGTTCGAGCCTTGGAAGGGTCAGCTTCTTCAGTAAAGCAACTCTTGATTTAGACATCAGAAGTGCGATCGTTACGTTTCTTTTGCTTCCTGTCTTAAGGTAGGCCACTGCCCCGTAGGCTTTGGCACTAGCATCTCCAAACACGTGAAGTTGGACAGTCGTGTCATCGCTCCTTTGATTCAAGTGTGCGTATTTTTGAGGATTCGGCTTTTCTTGAAGCGCAGAAAGTTGGGAACACCAGTCCGACCACTCATCACCAATGCCGTCCGGAAGACATCCGTCCCATTCCAACGCCAACTCCCATAGTCTCTGAAACAATAGCGTCACCGTAACGACAACGGGAGCGATCACTCCGAGAGGATCATATATGCGGGCTGATGTTTGTAGGAGGCTCCGTTTGGTGACCTTTCTCTCGTCTATTAACTCGAATACGTTTTTCATGTTTATGGCTAGCCGATCATCTTTCCGGTTCCATAGCAGGCGGAGAATCTTTACCTCTTTTGTGTTGTCACAAATAGCTGCTGCACCCTTGTTCGCTCCGTTTGAAGTGAAAAACCGCTGCCAATCGTCGTCGTTTGTGTTCAACTTGCAGAGTCTCATGCCAGCTCCGGTCATAATAGTAAAGGCTTCTTCGTAAAGTGCCCGTGCTTGCTCATTTGTTTCTGAACCTGTGAGCAGGTTGTTGTGTGCATGCGGGTGCCCCGCAAAAAGACAAGTTCTCGTCCGTCGGGAGCGATCTTTATTTTGTGACTGACGAATTGCTTCTTCGCGGCGCGGCAGCTCGCTCCGCCTCTTATCAGGAGCGCTGATAGCAGGGACCGGAAACGGAAACACGACACTTTCCCCCTCTTATTCGAGAGTAGTTAACCGGGACTAAAACGGTCAAGTGGTTTCCGGGTCCTCGGTGGGTAGCGTGGTTGCGACAGCTCCGCGGAGGTTACTTGTCCCCTTAGTTGTGCTGCTGTCGCTGCTGTCGTCGTGGCTGTTGTTGCTGTTGGCAGTGCAAGAGCTGGCTTGTCCTTGACAGGTGGCAGCAATACTGATGACAGCTCGTCATCCGTCTCAAACGGAGCCTTGCTTGTGGAGGGTGGAGCTGGCAATAAGTGATCCCGGTGTCTCCTCCAGATGTGCACTCCATGCAACGTGGTAACTTGTACCGTGTAAGAAACGGGCCCAGTTCTTTTCAACACCGTTGCATTCAACCCCTTGGGTCCCCGTCTGAAGCTTCGCACCATGACGCAGTCATTCTCTGAAAACGGCACGTCCACACCTCCCCGATGAGACGATTGTTGGAACTGGCGTCCAGAAATCAAACTTCGAGTGATGGTTTCATACATCCAGGCGCGTCCGAACGGCTCTTCCCATCAACAAGAAGGCCGGAGTCTCCTTAGTAGTTGTATGAGGAGTGGTGCGGTAGGCCAGCAAAAACTTGTTTAGACTCTCGGCAACAGACTCTGACGCCGGAGCCTTTCGAAGGGCATTCTTCAGAGACTGTACAAAACGTTCTGCGAGTCCGTTGCTGCTTGGATGGTATGGCGCGGTCAGAACTTGGCGCACGCCATGCATCTTGAGAAAAGAACGGAACTCTTCGGAAGTAAATTGAGGACCATTGTCGCTGACAATAGTTTCCGGAAGTCAATGTCGACTGAAAAGTTTCATGTAGTTGGGCAACTGTGCTTGCAGCGGTCGTAGACTTCATCAGGCAGACTTCAGGCCACTTGGAATGGGCATCGACGGCTACAAGAAACATCCAGTTGCGAAAAGGCCCCCTCGAAGTCCAAGTGTATTCGTTGCCAAGGTCTCGACGGCCACGCCCATGGATGCAAGGGGGCTTTTGCGGGTGATGCACGTTTTTGCTGGCACTCCCGGCAGAGCTTTACTTGAGTCTCGAGGTCTTTGTCAACCGATGGCCACCAGACATAGCTGCGGGCTAGCTTTTTGCTACGGACAATGCTTGGGTGACCCTCGTGCAGCTCCTCGATGACCAGATGACGCAGCTTGGGCGGCACCACAACACGCATGCCATACGTCAGGCATCCCTGATGAACCGTTAGTTCATGTCGTCTGTGGAAGAATGGCTTGAGATCGGCGTCGTCGAGGTAGGACGGCAAACCGTTGCGTGTGAAATCGAGTACCAGCCGGAGAGTGGAATCACGGGCGGTGTGCCTTGCAATCTCTTGACTTGTCACTGGCATGGAATCCAACCTCAGTGTGTAGAAAACTTCATCATCTGCTTGTTCCTCCACCGTTGAAAAAACCGGAAGCCGCGAAAAACAATCTGCGTCTAAGTTGTTTGCAGACGCCTTGTAAAGCAGGTTGTACCTGTAAGCGGAAAGGGTTACTGCCCAACGCTGTAGCCTGGCAGCAGCAATTGCAGGTATGCCAGTCTTCGGTCCAAAAATGCGCTGCAGGGGCAGGTGGTCGGTGACCAAAGTGAAGCTGCGGCCGTAGACGTAGAAGTGAAACTTCTTTACACCAAACACCAGGGCCAGGGCTTCTTTCTGAATTTGGCTGCACTTTTCTTCAGACTGAGTAAGGGTACGAGAAGCGTACGCAATTGGTCTCACCGAGCCGTCAGACGTCACATGTGACAGCACTGCGCCGAGGCTGTAAGCCGACGCGTCGCATGCCAGCTGCAGCAGGGCGTTAGGGTCGTAGTGGACTAAGACTGGCGAAGTCGACAGGGCCGACTTGATCTTGTCAAAAGCTTCCCGACACGCAGAGTCCCACGACCAGTTGACGTTCTGTCGAAGCAGCCTGTAGAAAGGATGCGCCAGCTTTGCAAGATGCGGCGTAAACTTGCCATAATAGTTAATCAGTCCCAGCAAGAAACGTAGCTGTGAGACGTTAGTCGGAGCTGGAGCTTTGAGCAAGGCTTCGATCTTCTCAGTTGTCGGCTGCACACCGTCGGCGCTGATGATGTGTCCGAGGTACTGGAGGCGGTCGCAAAGAAGCACGCATTTGCTGCGCTTGACGCGTACATCGCGTTCTGACAACCTTCGGAGAGTCGCTTCTAGGTTGGTGAAGTGTTCCGCGTGCTTAGTTCCAGTAATCAAAATGTCATCAATGTAGCACGTAACACCTGGCAAGTCTTTAAGCATGTTATCCATAACACGCTGAAAGATGGCGGGCGTCGACGCTACGCCGAACGGCAGGCGGTTCACGCTGAAAAGTTCCTTGTGAGTGTTTAATGTTAGGAACTTCTTGGTGTCGTCCGCCATTTCGACTTGATGATAGGCCCTATCTAGGTCGATCTTCGGGAGGTAGCGACCACCGGTGAGAGCCGCAAGAATCTCGTCTAGCCGAGGCAGCGAGTATTGATCCGTATCCAGAACGGGGTTCAGCGTTGTCTTGTAATCGCCGCAGAGGCGTATAGAACCGTCCTTCTTAACAACTGGGACTACTGGAGTGGCGAACTCGCTTGTAGCGACAGGCGTCGTGATTCCGAGCTTTTCAAGCTTTTCGAGCTCTTCTTCAACCGCAGAACGAAGTGCAAAAGGGACGTTTCGAGCCTTCAGAAATTTTGCGCGGTCTTCTTTCAACACGAGGAAAGCCTTCTCACCTTGGATCTTCCCCAGTTCATTGTTGAAGATGTGCTTGTATTTTTCAAGTAGACGTTCCAAATCCCCCGATGCATTAGGCTTAGCAGCGCTAGAGCATGGTCATTGAGCTGGTGCACGCCGCAAATGGCTGTCCAGTTCAGGTTGAAGTGCTCGAGCCACTCACGTCCTAGCAGAGGAGGCCCACGCTGATCCAAAACATACAGAGGCAGGAGCCGTCGCTGGTTGTTGTGCGTCACGTGCGTGTGAATGACGCCACACGGCTTGACGACTTCACCAGTGTAAGTCCGCAGTCGAAGTTCCGTGGGCTGCATTGACGACGAAGCAAACAACTGCTGGTCCTGTTTGCGTGAAACCACGGAGACAGTCGCACCCGTGTCGAGTTCCATACGTAGCGGCACCCCATCCACAGAGACGTCGACCAGTATTGGCGGCCGTGCCACCGAATTTATGCTGAGTAAACCGCCGCCTGCGTCTTGCGTGCATCTCCGTTTTCTTCGCGCGACCTTGCTTCTTCTTTTTCTTACTGCGACAGACTCGTTGCAGGCGGCCTCTTTTTCCGCAGTTAACACACGTAGCGGCAACGTGCGGGCATGAGTTGGCGAAATGCTTTGGGGAACCGCAGCGATAACATGCGGCTGTAGATTGCGCTTGCGGCGAGGCGTCTGCTCGCGCTTTATGAACGTCACCGCTCGAACGGTTGCTGCCTTGATTCGCATCCGGCGCATGCGCGTCCTGGGTGTTCCGAATAGCCGCTTCTAAGGCTAGCGGTCGCTCGACCGCTTTTTGAAAACTAAGCGTCTTGTGTTCCGCGAAGAGTACCGTTGAATGTCGGTGCGGGACAGACCACATACAAAACGGTCGCGCACGGACTCGTCCAGGAAATTGCCAAACTCGCGAAACTGTGACAGTCTTCGAAGCTCCGCCACGAAATCCGAAACGGATTCATTTTCGTGCTGTGAACGGCGGTAAAATTCGGCACGTTCCCCAATGATTGACACGCGTGGGGTGAGATGCTCCCTCAAAGCAGCTGTTAGTTCCTCAAAAGTCTTTGTTGACGGAACTTGCGGGGCCGTTAGTGCCTTTAGCAATCGATATGTTTTCGGTCCAATGACACTAAGAAACGCATGCACTCTGTCGGCTTCTGCTATCTTGTTCACGGCAAAATACGAGAAAAGTCGCTCTTCGTATGATGGCCAATCACTTAAAGATTCATCAAAAGCTTCCACTTGCCCGATACGAGCCATGCTGATTCCATCGGAGAAACTTCCTTGCAGGAGCAGAAGAAAAGTGCCCAGTTACTCGTCGCCAGTTGTTGTGTGCATGCGGGTGCCCCGGCAGAAGACAAGTTCTGGTCCGTCGGGAGCGATCATTATTTTGTGACTGACGAATTTCTTCTTCGCGGCGCGGCAGCTCGCTGCGCCTCTTATCAGGAGCGTTGATAGCAGGGGCCGGAAACGGAAACACGACACAGGTCACCGATATAAGGACACGTTGCGATGATCTTCGAGGTCTTTCGATATGATTCTTTGGCATTATACAAATAATGTCGAATAATTGTTGCTGTAAGCAGAAAGGGACAGCACGAGGCTCCAAAGGGTACTCTCGTCATTCTCCATGTCTCCGACGGGTTGACTGCGATATCCCCCCTAGCAATGTCTCTGAACTAGAGGAAGCGGAGAGCGTCGCTGTCCTCTGGGCCGAGCGACACCTGTTGAAATGCCTTCTCTATGTTTACACGAAGAGCGATATCGCGAACACGAAACTTCAGTAGCACTTAGAGCAGTTCTGGGTTCAAGTTGGGTCCAGTGTGCAGATGATCATTGAGCGAGGCACAGGCTGAAGCATGAGACGAGGCGTCGAACACGATGCGATTTTTTGTCGTTTGGCGATCCTCCTTGGTTACAGCACGGTGTGGAACGTAAAACGTCATTCCAATGGGTTCACCGACATCTCCAAAAGGGATTCTTTCGGCGAATCCGTTCTTAATATATTCTCTTTTGAACTTTTTGTGTTCCGTCAACAGACGGTTTCTCGGCGAAGTTTCTTCAGTAA